GCGATGATAGTAGTCGTAATATGCGTAATAATATTGATAATAATAGGAATAATAAGGATAATGACGTATTGGGCAGTCTTGAGATTTTATCTCTGGCGAGAGCTTTATGCGCATGCGCCAGATGACGTCACAGCTTGCTGCCAATGCCGTACCTAGCCGGTTCACGCAATGGTGACTGATGAGGGCACCTTAATGATCCTACGTAACTTTTCAAAAATTCTTATAATTGTACTGTAAACTATGAGTGTATAGATTGAGTTAGATTACATTAGGCTGGGTTAGGTTAGTTATATATATGTTTGTATAAAACCTTACAACTATATAGCAGATATGTTGCAAAATGATTATTTATTAATATACATATATGTATATATCGTGAATTATATAATATAATATAATGGGAATAATATGATAGAATATGGGAGATTATTATATTTAAAATAACACAAAAGCACAATTACTTTTAAAGCACAAAAGCACAATAACTTTTAAAACACTAAATGAATTTATTATTTAAGAAAAACGACTTGGAAGGACCTCTTTGAATAACTATATTTTATACGTGTGAAAATTATAATATCAGAGAAACAATAACAAAGAGATACATGGATGTTATTTTGTTAATATGCATAGATCTGATAAAAATCGAGCGGTATCTTTTTCCTTTGCTCTTGCAACAAATATTGGTATTCATATAACAAATTGGCTGCAAACGTAAAAAATAATAATAATCATAAATAAATTTAATATTACTTTTATTATATATAATCTGTTGCATTATTTAACCCTTTTACTCTCTTTCCTGCAATTTTCTTCGATTTATTTTTTTTTTTCCTCACTAGGGCCTAATGGTACCTTATATTCCATCAAAGTGGATACGCTACTGAGGACTTCTACGGATAGCTTACTGCGCATGCACTGGGACTGTCCAACACTGCTTCCGGCTTACTCTGTGGTTTCCGTCTTATCCGCTGTCATCTAATTTTGCAAACTTTCGTATTTTATTATAAGATTTACAAATCTTCTAGATTTGAATAAGTGTGGAACTTGTAATATATGCTTACTTGATCCAAACATTTTTGTAAAAGAAAATGTGGAACAAGTGAAATTATAATTTAATTCGTAGCTATTAGCTCGATATCGTTTTCTAAAGTTCATTTCTAGAAAAATGTTTAGAAAACGATATCGATTACCAGGTCACACCACGTGGAGGTTGCTACGATAGTGACCCACCCTAACTCCAAATCCCTTCCACCCTCCAAATGCAACCTCATTTATCGGAAGGATAAATGAGTTCTGACTCTACTTAACTCATAAACTCGCACATACAAGTTCTTTACCACAATCCAGTAAAGAACTTGTATCACACACACACATACATTAACTTAATACTAATCGCAAGGGGCCCCACACACTACGCTTAACTTATTCTAAACGCCGCATGGTACCTCTTATTCTAAGATTGCACTCGAATAATCTATGACGAATTCCAAAAGCAAAGGAAAGAAAGTTAGAAGAACTTTCTATTGAAAGCAAAGAAAGTTAGAAGAACTTTCTATTAAAAGAAAAGAAAGTTAGAAGAACCTTCTGTCAAAAAAGGGATTCAGTATTTTTCGCCAAGTGAACCTCGCCTTCCATGGGTCAAAGGGTAGTCCATAGTGTCTTACGTGAACCACGAGACCGAGATGAACCGAAAATACTGGCAAGAACGAGTGACACATCCGCGGAGGGTTTCCCATTTCTCCCCGCTTGCGTTTGAGGCAAGTCTGACCGCAGAGAGGAAACCCCTGCCGTGAGGCGGCAAATCGAGATGGTTCATCGATCGATCGGCCCCGCAGAGATGTGTCCCTGGCGCTACACCAGCACTTGCAGCTCACCTCGGCCGCGTGTTCACTGCGCTATGAACCCCCAATGATCCACTTGGGTTCGGAACGATTGACAAAAAATAACTGAGTA